TTGCAGAAAGATCATAAGTTGTGTATAGGAAATATTTAGAAAGCTAAATAGTGCCAGATACTGCTTTGCTAATGCTGCCAAAAGAGTAGATATCGCTTGTGAAAGACCTCGGATACTACCTCAGACTATATATTGCTGGAAGACTAAATATTGCTGGCAGAAGACTAAATAATACTTACAGAAAACTATTTACTGTTGGCAGAAGATCATATATCGCGTGTGGAGGACCTGAGACACTTATTAGAGGATTAGATGCTGCTGGAAGACTAAATATTGCTGGCAGAAATCTAAATACTGCTGGCAGAAAAAAATTGATAATTTTCAAAAATGGTGCCTACAAAAGTTGTTCCTTTTTTAATTCTTAACAACTTTTATTTGAAAAATATTTTGATACAAACAATAATTAATGAGATAATCTTGAATACCAGTTCTATACTATTCACAGGGAAATTAAAAAATTGATAATTTTTAAAAATGGTGCCTACAAAAGTTGTTCCTTTTTTAATTCTTAACAAGTTTTATTTGAAAAATATTTTGATACAAACAATAATTAGGANAGATTTATTAGAGCACATTACTAATAGAAAAATAAATACCAACAAAGAACCTGTAAATTGGTTGAAGATTCAACGACTTCAGTTCAAAAGAGGACACCCATTTTCAATATTTTATAAGGACACAGCTGATAACTTACTTCCATTCAAAGAAATTAACATAAAAAGAAACAACAAAAATGGTAGAAATCTTTCTTCGTTGGCATCAATAGATCAAAAACCGCTCTACAACGCTAGGCGCCGTATAACTGATATTAAGAAAAAAGATATGATTTCATTACTTCCTTTCATACCTCCAATCTACCACAACTTTTATAAGTCATTACCTGTTCAAACGAATACTAGATCGAGAGAAATTCCAGAGGAGCACATACGTTATGAATAAAATTTTTGTTTTTTCTAGTATTTTAATTTCTTTTGTGAGGTTAACTCTAAACTGTACTACTTTTCTTACATTTTCCTTAAGAAAAATGTTTCTATAAAAGAAATTGTCATTACTTTTTCACACCGTATTAATAGTTGGACTTGATCGATTTGCGGAAAAAAAAAATCAGAGTAAAAGTAAACTAAGTCCACATTTCTTTCTTTTAACCGGTTGTATAGCTAAAATAATGAAGTTTCTTTTAAATAACACCTAAGTAACAATAGTGTAGATACTTATTTATAAAAAATATCAACTTTAAAAATTTCGTTGCCTATTACAAAAAATTAGTAAATGGATCGAAATCAAACGGTCTGTTTTCTCGAAACGAACTTAAGTGGACTTGGTTCACTTTACTTCTGACCCACTCAAATATCACTATCGAACTATACGGTACTTTCTATATCTCACAATATTTATTTATTTACAATTTATGGGTACAGAGACAGGACAAACCCAAAAGATCTGTGCCACGAAAAAATTTACAATAAAAAAGAAAACGTGCAATAAGGAAAAAGGAATAAAAAAAATCAAAATTAAACTTAAGGGGTAATACTACCTTGTGTGTACAAAATTATGGGTCATTCAAATATATATTATCATCAATAAATTATATTTTAAATCAACATTTTAATAAATAAGCAATATTTTTTAAGAGGATAACCTATTAGCAAAAACAACGAATACCATTTTATTCAGCCATCGTTTAAAATTTTTGTATGTTTGTTACATCAAAATTTCTATTTTTTTATATAGTTTTTAGTGATGCATTTAGTTTTTTCAAAAAATGTCGCGTAACGTTTCTAAAATCACGTTTTAAAAAATTTTTAAAAACGGAATGCATCACCAGGTAGTGAAATGTAAAGTAAATCATATTTAAAGAGTTCAATTTTTTTATTAAATGCAGCAAATTTAAATAAAATGGGTTTAAAACGTTTAGTCGGTTTTGATTGCTTTCGGAGTATAAATACGGCAACATCGCAAATATTGCTCCGTCCCAAACATTGCCCGAGACATAGTGGAGCTATACGAGCTATACCGAGCTCGGTAACCGAGACGTCGGCGTCGGCGTAGTGTCTCCCAAGAAAAACAAACCTGAAGCAATTAATATTTTCGGATAGATCAAAAAATTTTTATATCACTAATTTAAATTTAAACATTTAATTTACGTAGAATGCAAAACAATGTTTAAGTGTGGCAATAAATTTTTAATAATGAGAATATTTGCACAATTATCTGATCATATACTATTAGATTAATTATTAAAATAAATACAAAATAAATATGAAAAGAATATCACCAAAGGTATATTTTAAAATAAATAATACAACATAAATAATAAAAAAATAAATTAACTCATAAAAAACAAAAAATTTTGTTAATAAACAATTTATGCATTTTTTCAAAAATTTTCTGATATAAGGACACTAAAATTTGACATCGTAAAGAGAAAAGCAATCTCTATCAAATGAGCGTAAGAAAAGGGTACAATGCTATTTAAAAAAATTCAAGTGTTATTCGTTGCTCATTTGTTTTCTGAAATATAAACAATTGAATGTTGTCCTATTATGGCAAATAAAATATTAAACAACTTTTGTATAAAATGGTTTTTTATAAAGTCAACATTTACCGAGATATATACTATATTCCATAAATAATGGGCACCCTGTATAAAAATATATGTGGTTCTGTAAGTGGTGGCATAATTTCAACCACATATACTGCTAGAGCAAAAATTATGACAACTAGTGTAAACATTTTTAATCTTTAAATACAGGGTTATTTATTAGCTCACCATTAAACTTTGACATATGATAGCTAATCCAATTATCAAAGAACATATGTCCTATTTCAATTATTTACGAAATTATAACACTTTAAAGTTTTCTGCAGCGAATTTATTAATAGTCAGTAAAATCAAACATTCAACAAAAACAAACTTGTCATTGTAATATGTCAGTTTGCTGTAAGGTTTAATTATTACATACAAGAAGAAACTCAAAATCTACGCTTATAGCACTGAAGAGTATGCTGATATAATTTTCATGTATGGTTTTTGCAATTGAAATGCTCGACAATCAGTACCAGAATATCAAGAAAGATTTCCACAGCGTTATTTGCCATATTATTCAGTTTTTAGCGATTCTTTCAGAAGACTTCGAGAAACAGGTAATCCTATTCGACAGCATGTATTTAATGTAGAGGACGAAGAAGCTGTAATTAATGCTGTTATTGATAATCCTTATATCACCACTCGAAGAATAGCACACAACATACATGTAAGTCAAATATTGCACCGCCAAGTCCTTCATCCGTATCGTAAACAGAACGTTGAAGCTCTACAGCCAGGAGATAATCAGCAACGGTTAGCATTTTGTGAATGGTTATTGCAGTAACATGCCCAAAATAATCACTTCATTTCAAATGTTCTCTGGACAGATGAATCATGTTTTACACGAGATGGTATAAATAATTACTATAATGAACATATCTGGGCATTACAAAATCCGCATGCGATTAGACCAAGAAAATTTCAACGTTTCAGCATCAACGTTTGGGGTGGAATATTTAACAATTTACTAAGTTTGCATGTACTCGATGGACGTTTGAACGCTGTAAATTACAGATTTTTTTGAACAATACATTTTTTGATTTACTTAAAGATATACCTCTTAATGTAATTCAAAATATGTGGTACCAGCACAATGGTGCCCACCTCATCGCGGAAGAGTAGTTGTCGAGTGGTTAAAACAATATTTTCCAAATAAGTGGATTGGTAATAATGTTCCATTTGCTTGGCCACTTAGATCCCCCAACCTTAATCCATTGGATTTCTACTTATGGGGTCATATGAAACAAATTGTGTATCAAGTGGAAATTAACACACGAGAACAGTTATTAAACAGAATACAAATGGTTGCTACTGAAACAAGAAATCAACCAGACATTTGAATTCGGCTGAAGAACTCTTTAATTCATCATTGTGAAGCATGTATTCGTCCTTCAGAAGGAGGCTATTCTGAACAATATGTAACAATTGGAACAATTGTAATATTTATGTGTTTTAAAAAAATGTAGCAGTTAATTATAATATAAAAATTAAAACTTTAAAGTGTTATAATTTCGTAAATAATTAAAAGGACATATGTTCATTAACATTTTTTTTTTGTAATTGGATTAGCTATCATACGACAAAGTTTGATGGTGAGCTGATAAATCACCCTGTATAAATCAATAAATGGCTAAGGTATAGATTACCTTCAATAATTTCAATGATTTGTCATATACAGGTAAAATTTGGTATGCTGTGTAATTTTATAATGAGAAATCTGATAAGATCGGCATCGACCAACATTCCTTTTTGAAGAAAATATATAATTTTAACTAACAATCGATAATAATGAAATATTAGTAATAACAGCTATGTTCCAAAAAACGGCCCCGACTCGTATTCAAATGCATTCAACTAAAGAATAAAATCAACGTCGCTGATTGTCGGGGAATTACCCGACAATCGGACAGTCCTAGTCGCCATCGGCCTGGCGCGCCAGCCAGATCGAGTACACATGGAGCGGTGTTGCCGCATTAGTCGTGTTCACGAGCGAATCTCGTTTCGAATTTTTCGCCAGCTAGGTAGGCCTCTTAAGTAGGTTACTTAATATTATGTTCATAAATATTTATTAATGGTGTTTTAAATTTTTAAAGGAGAAAGTTATGTTCCTAGAATTGCTATTTTATTTTTTACCTTACCTTTATTAACGCAGCCTACTTATATGTATTTAAATTTTTTTAAAATTTTTATCATTTTTACTCTTTTATTTAAAAGTAAACCGTGTTATCATTAACACTTTCGATTTATTTAAAAATTATATTTAAAAAATCTATTTTTAAATAACTCTAATTTTCCAATTATTTTATTATACATATTATTAAAAAAATGATAAAGCTTTCATCAAAAATAAAAATCTTATCTTAGCTATCGTTTTTGATAAGGTTACTTAACTTATCAGTACACTGATTTTGTGATTAAATTTAACACATATATTAGCACTTTTTTTTTTAAGCGCAGTCAGAGTCCACGGCTATGGTGTACCATGCGACGCAAGAGCAACATGTGGATAAGGTCGGGGGTGGCGGTATTCGTCGTCTTCTTCGTCTGGCTGCAGCTCAATTTCTTGAGTTACAGCGGGTCCGCGGACACAGCCGATCTAAACGAGTCTGCGACCATCTTCAGCATGGTGCCATCCGTTTTGCACAAGTTTCTCACCCCGAGGCCTCGCAACGTTTCAAATATAAATGGCAGCGCCACCAACGCCACGTATCGAACGTCGCTCAACATCACCGAAATCAAGAAGTTCATCGCACAATGCAACTTGCAGCAAACCATTTACAACGAAGATCTATTCGGACCATTACAAAATGATTCTGTTATTATTATTGTTCAGGTAAATCTTTTTAAGCCCCAAATCTTTTTTGTATGATTAAAATTTTTTTTAGGTACATGATCGAATAACGTATTTAAGACACCTAATTGTTAGTTTAGCACAAGCTCAAGACATTTCGCAAGCCTTATTGATATTCTCCCACGACATTTTTGATGAAGAAATTAATAGTTTGGTCCAAAGCATCGATTTTTGCAAGGTGATGCAGGTGTTTTATCCGTTTTCGATACAGACGCACCCCAACGAATTTCCCGGGGAAGATCCTAACGATTGTTCACGAAATTTAAAACGAGACGAGGCGTTGGTTCAGAAATGCAATAACGCTCCTTATCCCGATCTTTATGGACATTATCGAGAAGCGAAATTCACGCAGACGAAACACCATTGGTGGTGGAAAGCCAACAGGGTGTTTAATCAGCTTGAAGTTACCAGGAACCATACTGGGTTGGTCGTTTTTTTAGAAGAGGATCATTTTGTCGCACAGGATTTTATACATGTTCTTAAATTAATGGATAACACTTGCAAGACTTCGTGTCCACAATGTAACATACTTTCTTTGGGAACTTACTTGAAGACGTTTTCTTATTACGCTGACTCAAAGAAGGTGAGTCGAACGAAAATGAGGTGGTTGTAAATATATGTATATAAGCAAACGCATTGGCCTTTTTTGTGTACATATAATTTCAGAAGGAACTGTTGCGCGCGATTAAGCAACAAGCAACGGTAAACGTGATGCAACCGTCGTGGACTTTTCAAGTGTTACCTTCGCTTTACCAGCACACTCAGAAGGTACTGCGAGGCCTTCCCCTTACGTTGAGAGCCCCCTTTTTAGCATGCCGCTTTTAATCCGCATGATTTACAATAAATTCCTCTAGCAATGTTTTCATTTACGTAGAATCGGTTAATTCGTTAAGCGATTTCGTTGAATTGACGTGATTTTTTTAATTAGGTTGAAATCACGCCGTGGATAAGCAGTAAACACAACATGGGGATGGCGTTTAATAGAACGACGTGGAATCTCATCAGAAATTGCTCCGAGTTCTTTTGCAAGTACGATGATTATAATTGGGATTGGTCTCTACAACACGTTTCGCAGTATTGCTTAAAACAACGGTTGCATGCTATGGTGATTAGAGGACCTAGAGTTTTTCACATTGGGGAATGGTAAATTGCGATGTAATTTTATAATTTAATTTAAATAAAATTTTTTTAGTGGCGTTCATCACAAAAAAAATAATTGCGAGTCAACAGGAGTTATATCGAAGGTGCAAAAGGTGCTGAAATCGGCGAAAAATCACCTCTTCCCAAGTTATCTTACTTTGACTTATGTGACGCCATTAAAAAAGACGAAAATACGTAAAGGGAACGGTGGTTGGGGAGACCGTCGTGATCATATGTTGTGTATAGGGATGACAGCGAGATAGTCAACTTTTAACTCACCGAACGTTACCCGTCTAGTCGAATCGAAGCGAAATTTCGCCGATAGTGTCATATTTTTCTCCGTACTACGCATCGCCTGGGACCTGATAAAACATGATAAAACATTGTAACCCCCGTACTTACCAAAACATCACTTCAGTTTAGGTCTGTTCTTCGGAAGGCGTAACAAAACTAGCGTACGACTATTTGAAATCTAGTCAATTGTTTTTATATCGATTTTTAGTTTTCTTTTCTGTTTTGTTATAGGTTTATTTTTCAGTTAAAGTTTGAGAGATATGTGATCGTCATATCATGTACTGAGCGTTTTTTTTTTAATTCCAGTTATTGACCGTAAAGCCTAATTACTGTAAAGAAGAAAACTAATAAGCTAAGTACATAATGTCCAAAATCATACCAGAGAATTGTTACCTTAAACCTAATATTACTAAAGATGAAAATATAAAAACTAGTATGTACATAATTTTTTACATACTTTCATATAATCGTATTAAGTAAAAGATCAAGAAAGCTTGGATTGTGATATATACGTAGTTATAGTATTTTTGTGTTGTTACTTTTTTTCATTACGATTTTGTTCGAATATACATCGAGGGATTACTCAATAAAATGTTGAATCCTGTAAAGATAACATCGATAAGACATTATTTGTAAATTACGGCCGATGGACGTTTTATTGAGGCACTAATTAATTATACTTAATGACTCAAAGAATTAATTACTAATTATTTTATTAAATCGCCAAAAACAATCTTTGGGTCATTCTGTATATAGCTTTAAGTCATATAATATATGTAACATAAATCTATATGATGATAAATTAGTTATATTTGTAGAAGCTAATTAAAGGAATTTATTCACAAACAAAAGTAGTGTTTCGGCCTAAAGAATTTTGTTTTGTACTTAAGGGGAGCTTTTTGCGGCTCTCCTTAGTCACATGCATGTTACGAACGTATACATTAGATTTGTATAAAGCTCGATATAGATATTAGTGGGGATATATTGTATATTTTTCGAAATGGTTTCGCTTTTTTACATTGGTAGCAGTTCTGCACAACGCGTCTCGTTCGGACGTTTGGGACGTACTTAAAATTTAGCATATCTTCGTAAACTGATTACGACATTTTTTACGTGTACGATAATTCCAGTCTATGTAATATAAAAAAGTTTCAAAAGTAAAAATTTATTATAAGGATAAAATAAATTTGGTTTTATTTTCTTTCTCGTTTTAAACAGATAACAACAAGATAAGATTACTTAACAAAAATGTATTTCAGTAATATCATGCTATAATATTACAAAGTTTTATTTTTTAATATTTATCCGCCCAATTGTTTGTACAAAATAGGAACGTAATCGTCCCATTCGGCTTGATAAAAATTACCAGCGACAGGTTGACCCAATTGATATTTTTCGGCAAATTTTTTGATTGAAAAGCATCCTCTATTATCTCCTGAAGTGTTTGTAAGTCTCTGTTCATCGAAATTTAATTTTCCATTTTGTTTGTAAATCAAAAAAACGTAACGGTGTAATCCGGTTCCTTGAGGCGGTCCAGATCCGACGTATTGAGATAAAGTCTCTCCTTTAGAAATGTTAGCTCCGGGAACGTTTCCCACTAACCAATGATGCCATTCGCGAAATTTCGGTTCTTTGCGACTTGGAGCATCCGGATCCGTCATGCAAACGGTGTATAAAGCGCTATCATCGGCTGTCCATTCCACGTTTGGAATGTCTTTAACTTGAGTCGGCGTCAAAATGTTCCCAAGATCAACCTTGACACCACTTGGATAGCTAACCTTGAAACCAAATAGACATACTTAATTCAGAAATTAAATTCGATTCGTGTTAATTATACCTTGCAGACTTCCTTGGGAACTTGATCGATAACATCGGGGACAACTTCCAACTTTTCCATGTTTTTAACTAGTGCAGAAAAATGTCTTACAAATGCCGGTCGTCTAAGTGCAAACATGCTAAAAGTACGATATAGAAACGATGATTTTTACGAACACTTACCGTTTAAGTTACCGTGTGGATTGTTAGTTAACACGAATAACTCAAAATAATTAGTTATAAATAGCTTACCTAGAATATCTTTCCGGTTATCGCTGTTACTGGCTGTCTTTGCTATCGCCACACTGCTCGTATAATATATAATACAAAGTACGCCGGTGGATTATCACGCATGCGTATTTACAACAATCACGCGTTTTCTCAACTTGACCCATTCTTTATCGTCATTTTAAATTCAAAATTACCTAATTAAATAAATATGTATACTATTCTAGCTTCTATATTAACATATAGAGTGTTTGATTTTAATTGTCACAACAGATATCTCGACTACTGACTGGAGATATGATAAAATGATGCTCCACACTTAATATTACTTAAAAGAGCTCACTTTTGTTGAAAAATATGAAAATTTGCTAAATTCGTAGTCTTACAAGTTGTTAATGATGTTATTTGGAATTCTGAGTGTGATCCTGCTTGAAATTTATGGAAGACGTCTTCGAAGTCGGCCGAGATTATTTTTTATATCAACGGAAATAATCTCGCCTATGATCTTTGCCTATATGTAATCTAATCCAACCCAACTCAACCCAACCTAAGTATCGCGAACAATGCTTAGGGCGGCCGACGTCTTCCAAGTCGGCCGAGATTATTTCTGTTGATATAGGTAATAATCTCGAAGACGTCGGCCGCCATAAGTATTGTTTATGATGAAGCATGGTCTTCACATGCAACCCAACCCAAGTATAAAGAACAATACTTAGTGCGGCCGACGTCTTCGAAGTCGGCCGAGATTATTTCTTATATCATGAACAATACTTGTTCGGCCGCCATAAATATTGTTCGTGATGGAGCATGATCTTCGCCTGTAAGTCTAAAGAACAATATTTAGTGCGGTCGACGTCTTCGAAGTCGACCGAGATTATTTCTGTTGATATAGGTAATAATCTCGGCCGACTTCGAAGACGTCGGCAGCCATAAGTATTGTTTATGATGAAGCATGGTCTTCACCTGCAACCCAACCTAAGTATAAAGAACAATACTTAGTGCGGCCGACGTCTTCGAAGTCGGCCGAGATTATTTCTTNTTTTATTTGAAAAATATTTTGATACAAACAATAATTAATGAGATAATCTTGAATACCAGTTCTATACTATTCACAGGGAAATTAAAAAATTGATAATTTTCAAAAATGGTGCCTACAAAAGTTGTTCCTTTTTTAATTCTTAACAAGTTTCATTTGAAAAATATTTTGATACAAACAATAATAAGGAAATTTCAATTTATCAATTTTTTGATAATTTTCAAAAATATTTTGATAAAAGTCGAATACATAATAAAATAATCTTTGGAATGATGTCAATTTTGACTATTTAAAAAAAAATCGAGTTGACAAATCAAAAAAGCTTAATTATTAATAAAGATATCTAACTTTGCATAAAGCTAACCTAACTTAACGATGATGTTACGCTCTTTTGATTTTCTTTAATAGAGAGCGCAACAATCGTATTTCGGTATAATGTGTATCTGCAAGTAATGAGGAAAAAAATCTGTCATACAAGATCGTAATGTATCGTTTGGTGTGTGTCTTATTATAAAGGTTAAAGAAAACCGGGTTCCACCTGATTTATCCAGGTGTGCGTGAGGAAATCATTAAGGGAACGGTTGCGAGTTAAAATGCGTCCCTCGGGACGAAGCGTCATTGGTGGGGGGCGGCGCGACACATAATGTTTAACAAATTGGTATACAATTTGCGTTCGGACGGTGAGCCAATCGTCTAATTGATCGCAGAATGTGCTGGCCGAGGCTGCTCTTCGATAATTTCAGTTAAGGTACGTTACTTTTCATTAAGAGGATAACCTATTAGCGAAAACAACGAATACCATTTTATTCAGTCATCGTTTGAAATTTTTGTATGTTTGTTACATCAAAATTTCTATTTTTTTATATAGTTTTTAGTGATGCATTTAGTTTTTTCAAAAAATGTCGCGTAACGTTTCTAAAATCACGTTTTAAAAAATTTTTAAAAACGGAATGCATCACCAGGTAGTGAAATGTAAAGTAAATCATATTTAAAGAGTTCAATTTTTTTATTAAATGCAGCAAATTTAAATAAAATGGGTTTAAAACGTTTAGTCGGTTTTGATTGCTTGTGGAGTATAAATACGGCAACATCGCAAATATTGCTCCGTCCCAAACATTGCCCGAGACATAGTGGAGCTCGGTATTCTCAGTAACCGAGACGTCGGCGTAGTGTCTCCCAAGAAAAACAAACCTGAAGCGATTAATATTTTCGGATAGATCAAAAAATTTGTATATCATTAATTTAAATTTAAACATTTAATTTACGTAGAATGCAAAACAATGTCTTAATGTGGCAATACATTTTTAATAATGAGAATATTTGCACAATTATCTGATCATCTACTATTAGATTAATTATTAAAATAAATACAAAATAAAAATATAAAGAAGCACCAAAGGTATATTTTAAAATAAATAATACAATATAAATAATAAAAAAATATATTAACTCATAAAAAACTAAAAATTTTCTTAATAACAATTTTTAAATTTTTTCAAATATTTTCTGATATAAGGGTACTAAAATTTTACATCATCGTAAAGAGAAAAACAATCTCTATCAAATGAGCCTAACGAAAGGGTACATTGCCATTTAAAAAAATTCAAGTGTTATTCATTGCTCATTTGTTTTCTGAAATATAAACAATTGAATGCTGTCTTATTATGGCAAATAAAATATTAAACAACTTTTGTATAAAATGTTTTTTTATAAAGTCATGAAGTGTAAGTTGACATGACAT